ATCTTACACATTCTGAAAACAAGATGATTATTCTTACACAATCAGTTCTTGCTTAGTAAATCAGTCTCAAAACAAGATCAAAAAGACTTTTTGGCTGATATAAGATTTTAAAACTTGGTAAGATGGACAGTTTTTGCAGTGTAGGATGAAATAAAATTAGACTGTAGAGAAATAAATAAAAGGTCAGGTGGTCTGATGAGTCCAGCTGTCATACTGATGATTCATAAAAGCATTATGAAAGAGAGGTGAGTGGTTGGCTTTAGTTTGTTTATTTTTTTTATCTAAAGGTGGATTGGTGTCTAGAGTCCTGAACTAAACCCCGGTGAGGCTCTGCTGATGAAGACTATGCAAAGCTCTTTTTCAAAATAAAATGTTGGCCAAGTATTTTGCAAAAACAAGTGAACCCACCTTTATTAACCTGTCAGAAGTTTAATCACTTCATGTGGATCAACAGAGACAAGAACTTTATTTAATAATGATAATAATATTTGAATATTTTATTTTCAGTAAAATATTTCTGAATAAATTAAAAATAGAATTATTTAAAACTATTTTCATGTTCACCGTAGAGCAGTACATAATTCAGTGGACATATAAAAAACCAGCATGTCCTCAGAGGATGTGCGTCTGAGTTCACATGTATATGATGGTATAACTTATGTCTTCATGCATTCCTGTGTGATGCTCAGAGGGGATGAATGTTTATCTGAGGGGGTTCCACCCTAAAAGCCCTTGTCTGTGTGTTGATGGACTCTCTCTGCTAACGGATCCATTCAGACCTGATGCAGGTTCTACACCAGGATCACATGGTGGACTTCCTGAATTATTAGGCTTGAGATCAAGTTTTATTAAATTAACCAGTAGACCAAGAGTTAGTCAATTGGATTGTTAAATAACTGTTGTAGAAAAATAAAGCTTGATTGAATTTGTATTTCTGCTATAATGAAGTATAAAGTATTTATGGAAAAAAATAAACTTGATGAATTAAAAACATACAGATAGGGGTGCAACGATACAGAAAATTCACGATTCGGTTCGGTTCGATACTTTAGTCTCACGGTTCGATATTTTTTCGACACAAAAAAGAGAAATTTCCATGCCCTTTTTAACTTGTAATTTATTTAAATTAATTATGAACATTTGTTTAACCTCAAAAGTACAGTTTTTAAATTAAATATTGCTGAAACAGCAAGTTTCTCAGTGGATCTGATCTATAAAAAAAATGCAGCCTAGGTGGAGTAGTCGAACACAGATCCACTGATCCTTCAACACAGAGCATCTTCAGAAGACAAGTTGGTAAAATTAATTTTAAAAATCTGTATTGTTCGATACAAGTGTGTGTTGAACCTAAAGCACTGTTCGATACGGTTGGATATGGGTACATGTATTGTTGCACCCCTAGTATCAGATCTGTGAATCATTCTTCATTTAGATGAGCCAGATATTTTGTCACTAGCTGCGTTTCCATTGACCATGAAAATGCGCAAATTAGAATTTCGAAAATAAATTTGCTCAATGGAAACACGTCAATTTCGAAAAAAATTACGTTTCTCGACAAAATGTTTTTGCGCTAGGATGAGGCGGTTTTTCAGCCGTATTGAAATTGGTGTTTTTTGCAAAACTGCAATGGAAACATTTTTTTCGCATCATGGGAGTCACGTGATCAACAACCGGCTGTTTCTTCTGGTGAAAAAGACAATGACGAAGAAGATAACAGGAAGTAGAAATAGTAGTAATATCACTGAAAATGGATGGATGGATGGATGGATCACAGAAGTAGTATAAAATAGTAAACTCACCGACTACAATTTCCCAAAAACACAGCCTACGTAGCCGCTCCCAAGTAGGGACTTGTCTCTGGAAAGCCTCGGTAAAAGATGCCGACGTCTCTGATGATGAGCGCTAGTGTCGTGGTAGCAGCATGCTATGTGTTTACATCCATTGCTGCCATGTTTATAATGACTTATCACGAGAACAAACGTATTCACGCATGACTTTTATAGCATTTCTTACTCAATCGAAACACCACAGTTGCGAAACGGTGTTTTTCGACAGTAACAAAATATCAACAAAGTTTTGTGCACATTTGCAATGGAAACGCAGCTACAGTCATATATTAATATGTTGCTGTTTTGTCAAGTGGATGTCTTGTAAAAATGTGATATTTAGATGTAGCTGACCCTTTGGAGTGGCATCTACAGCCACATGTTACAACCATGCTTCTCAGACTGTGGTACAAGTACTGCAGGTGGTACTCAGAATCCATCTTTTAGTGCTCTGAAAAAAACTTTGAAACTATTCACAAGTTAAAAACAACCAACTCAGTCATCATGGGATGAAGTGTGATGTAAATCTAAAAGCACAAGTGGTTCAAACAGAAATGGAATGGGCCATGATTAACCAATGTACTAGTGGTTATTAAAGCAGGGAAATCTCTGAGTGACCTGCTTGCAGCAAAAAGTGTAAAATAAAGAATAAGTTTGAAATCAAATTATCTCTAATTTGTGTTTTGTTGCTGTGGGACAGCAGAAGAGATGTCTTGGTTAAAAAAAAAAAATGCATGAAACTGCATTTTCAACCAGGGTAAGGCTAAGGATTTTTTGCCAGTTTTCTCATTTATGACAAAATAATTGTGTTTGTAAATTTGCTGTCTTCTGTGTTTTTCATTAGCATAAATAATTGTAGAGTTTAGATCCTCTGAGGTGGTCACATTAACCTCACATTAAAATTGAGAGTTTACCAGTTCCCAACATTTTTAAATAACAGACAAGGATCGAAACCTCCTGGTATTTTCTAGAAGAAGTCCGAAGTGAAGCATGTTGCTCCTCAGAGCAGCATCGTGGCATTTTGTGTTTACCTCTGTCCCATTAGCTAATGCCGGTCAGCACCCCACCACTTCCAAACACTGCAGGATTGATGAGGTCTGTGGCGCTAAAACCTTCCCGCTGTCATTAGTCTCCGTCAGGAGGATTTGAAAAGAGATATCTGTTGTGTACACTGAGCTGTAGACACAACTCTCACAACCACACCAGGTGAGGCGGTTGTGTTCTTGTCTAACACTTGTGCTTACAGCTGTGGTAACAAAAAAGGTGCTGAATATTCTGCATTGAATAGTCTGTCTTTAGGTTCATTTGCTGGGACTTGCACTCCTGAACAGCAACTGTTCATCTGCAAAAAGGGGAAAAAAACTCAGTATTTATTTAGGATGAAGAATTGAAAACTGTCACGTCTTATAAATATAAATGTAATTTGTGTGCATGTGTGTGTGTGTTTGCATACATGCACGGGTCCTTGTTCTCTAATCCTGGACGTGTTTGCTTTCAAGTGCTTTTATCAAGATCAACACACACCTTGAGAGGAGTCCTCATCTCAGCACAATCCAAAATGTTCTTTGTTGACTTATGAATGCTGATGTGGTAACCATTGGTAACGTTCCAAACAGAGTAGATTAGGCCTATCATCACAAAAGCACATCCTTGTGTTTTACTGACACTCATCAGAGCTTTAGACAGGATTCAACTGGTGCCAACCATCATCTTCTTCGTTTGGCCTCCAGTTCTAATGTAAAGAACCTTGGTGTTATTTTTTATCAGGTATGTCTTTTAACCCCCACATTAAAAACCTTCTCCTACCTGTGTAATATCACTAAAATTAGAAACATCTTGTCCCAAAATGCTGCAGAAAAACTGATTCATGCATTTATCACGTCTAGGCTGGGCTACTGTAATTCTTTATTATCTGGACATCCAAAAAAAAAAAAAACTCTACACTCTGATTCAAAATGCTCAAAATCAGAATAGAAGTTAAAATCTTACTTCTAACGTACAAATCTCTCATCAACCAAGCTCCATCTTATACGTATTAAAGATCTTATTACCTCCACCAAGGAGGTAATGCTTTCGGTCGCATATGTCTGTCTGTCTGTCTGTCTGTCTGTCTGTCTGTCTGTC